ATTATGTCTAGAATAACATTTAACAAGATAAAAGAAAATATACTAATTATGATTGTCATATACATAAATGGCATTACAATGTGATCAGAATCAATCCCATACCCAGAATAGATATTCCATTATTAATGCTGAATATTAAAATGAATTCATAAATTCTATTAAAGTCCCAGGAATCTATTACTTGCAAATATGTACTTGTAGATACAAAATAAAGTTTTGCAATGATGCTTAAAAGTTTATATTGTTGGCTCTAGTTATCATTTTTTTCTTTTTTAAAAAATAATTATTTAATTTGACCAGACACAGACACGGGGTGGGGAGGTGGTGTGTGTCCAATACTCAAACCATGGTTGGCCAAGTGGGAATGTCCAGCACCTTAACCACCATGCCACCTGCTAGCCCCTAGTCATTTTTCATCACAACCTCTATAAGGTCATTTTTCAATTTCCACATAGGTAGAAAGTCTTTAGCATTCTTTTTCTTCTCCCACCAGGTTACCCTTTTGTCAAATATGCAGAACTGTGTTTATCAACTAGCAGAGTATTTATTATGATTACAGGGCTGGAAGGGAGTAGGGGTTCCTTGCTAAACATCCTGCTCTCCTACTCCCTTCGACAACATCTCTTTCCCATTCCCATTTACATCATTTTTGTCTACTATTATTACAATTTCCGGAGTCTGTGTGATTCTGTTTTACTTGATGCACAGATCCAAATACAAAAAAAGAAAATGCTTCTAACATTTGTGATGTTTGTATTAGAGCTCTGCTCTTCAAAGTTACATTTGAAATACACTTAGAAATACATCAAAGTCTTAAGTTGGGAAATAGTTGATTTTCAAAATGGTTAAAGAAAGCTGCAGTTCTTGGCATCAGCTCTGGTGTACTTGTATTTTAAGAAGTACAGTATCTTTTTAAATGCCTTCAGTAAGGAGAATTGGAGAGAAAACAAGGAGTAATAAAGTCTTCTTAATGAGGATCTAACTTGCAAAAAGGGTGCAACAGATGGTCAAGTAAAGGCATTCTCTTTAAACTGGTGCCAGTATTGTTTCTACCAACTGTATTTCTGGCTTTTGTTCTTTTGATGCAAATGCCCATGTGCTGTGCTTTTCATTGTTTCAGTCATGTCACAGACTGGCATGTTCAGGACTCTCAATCTTTATGTAAGAAAACTTGACTTTAAAAATGAGTCTAATTCCATATCTCTACTCTCTACTCTCTACTCTCAGTGTAAAAAGGTAATATAATAATTATGGGGACCAGCAGTTGGCATAATGGCTATGTCACTGGACTCTCATATAGTCGACCGCAGTTCAAGTCCTGGACCCAGTGGGTTAAACCCACGCCGGGCATGTGTGTGTGCATGCCCAAGATCCTGAGAGGAGAATGGAGGAGAAGGGATTGTGGCGTGGCCATCCCCTCTGGGGGGGTGATTTAATATAACAATTATTATAGAATTAAGCTATCTTTGATTTTTTTTCTGATTATGTCTAGAATAACATTTAACAAGATAAAAGAAAATATACTAATTATGATTGTCATATACATAAATGGCATTACAATGTGATCAGAATCAATCCCATACCCAGAATAGATATTCCATTATTAATGCTGAATATTAAAATGAATTCATAAATTCTATTAAAGTCCCAGGAATCTATTACTTGCAAATATGTACTTGTAGATACAAAATAAAGTTTTGCAATGATGCTTAAAAGTTTATATTGTTGGAGCCAGCAGATGGCGTGGTAGTGAAACTGCTGAACTCACACGGCTGACTGCAGTTTGTCCTAGGCCTGGTGGCTAGCTTTCTCACTTTTCTGCTCTATTTTTCCCTCTCTCTCTGTCTCCCTCTGGTGAGTGCATGTGCCCTATAGCAATTTTAATAATAATAACAATAATGAATAAAATAAAGTAATTCTTTTTTTAAGTATGTGTTGTTTTATAGTTTTTTTTTTAAGAGAGTTTTTTTGTTTGTTTGTTTGTGTGTTTGCTATAGGGTACACACACACTCTGCAGACAAACCGAAAACGAGAAATGATCTCCCAGGAGTGATGGTCACACTACAATCCCTTCTCCTCTTGGGATTTTGAGCATGCAAGCACATACACTCGGTGTGAATTTCAAGCTGCCAGGTCCAGGACTCACACCGTGGTCGGCCATGTGGAGGTCCAGCAACGTAACCACTACACCATCGACTAGTTGCTTGTTTTAAAGTCTTAACAAAAACTTTAGCTTCATGTCATTGATCATCAAAATATAAGAGCAAGCATTATAATTGATATGTTCATAATTTCTTGGTCTTTTGGCTAAGAAAAGAGTGGAATGTAATTGATACTTTTTATTTATGAAATTATCGAGAGGTTTATGGGACAGGTCTTTTTATCTGTATCCCAATGCTTGTGCATCTGGAATTCAAAAGATCTAAAGTGTGATGTAGAATATGTAATATAATAAGAAACCATAGAATCACCAGTGACTTACATTCAAATTATTTCTAATTCTTTTCTAGTCCAAGTCCTCAACAGCTCACTGGTCTATCCTGTCTTCTCTGTAATACAGAATTAATTAAAACTCTCATCTTGTTCCAGGATCATAAGCCTCCACTCCCCTCCTCTGAACCTCATGCTGTAAAGCTGCTGGACTGATCTTTCTGAAATGCAATTCTGATAGTGTTACTGCTAGGCTGGGAAACATTTGATGGCTTGCTACTGCCAACAGTGGTGGTTCTTAAACGATGCACCTGAAGACTTTTGTTGTTCTAAGAATTAGACAAAGGTATTTGGGGCAGCAAAAATAAAGTAATGTCAATTAGCTAGTTGCATTTTCTTATTTTTACCCTTACTTTTTCTTAAATATTTTGAACTTGCTACTGTTTGTCTAGTGAACATACCTAATATGTATCAAATTAACACAACGAAACAAAAACTGATAACTCTGAAAGTCAACTATGCTTAATTCACCTATTAGTCAACTATGCTTTATTCAACTATTATTTTTGCCCCTTTGGAGAGGTGGTAGAAAATGTGTTCATGATTTTTATTTAGTACTATGTTTATGACATGCTTTTTGCAGTACATATGATAGTTAAATATTTGCTGAAACAACTTCTATATACTCTGCTTTCATCTTGAAAACCAGTTACATGTTACCCTTCTGCAATGCCTTTACCAACTTCTGTCTCTGCCCTCATAGTCCAATGTATAACCTTCCACTGATAATCTATTCTCCATTTTACTTTATTTCTTTATTAAACGTCTGTCACCTGAATTAGAAAGCGAATTCATTGAGGACAGAAGCAAAATCCTATTAACCTTTAAATCACAAATATTAGGCATATAATAAGTAGGTGCTAGAAAAGGCGGAGTTCAACTCCTGTAAGAGAGCACAAGTCTGCCAACTATTTATCACAGCCATGGCATTCCATAACATGAAAGCAAAGTCTGTAAAATCTCTGTTTCCAGTATAATATATAACACATTATAAAAATGAAATAAAACAGTTTCAGAACTATTTTAATTCATGCTTTTTACTATACCAGGCAGGAAAATAAGTTAAATACAACAAAACTGCACAAAAAAAGTCAATGTTGATTTTCAGTGATTTTTTTAAAAAAATACGCAGTATTCAGAAGCCTCGAGTTAAGGTTTCAGTTCTTTCTACAAATTGAATTTTAATTGTAAAGAATTTTAACTCTAAAACTACAAACCAGATAATAAATATTAAATTATCTTTTCATGCATCCCATGAAAAAAAAAGTTGTATCTGTAATAGCTCAATGAATCCGATGCAACCTCTATAAATGTTAAAACTTACACTTGAAACAAACAACAAAAATGAAATTGAAAGTATTACTTCATTATTGCAAGTAAAATTCTATAAAAAGAAAGACCTGTTGGTATAAGTGCTTAATTTGGTGTGTGTATGTTAGAAATGGAGTTCATGCTTCTGAAACTGTTTATTATATCCTAGTATTCTCATGTAGATTTTTTGTTTTTGTTTTTTCAGTCTACCAGATATTCTCCATCAATTTACTAAGATCACTGCAGAGGTGTAGGTCATGGGCAGGGAATGTGAGTAGCCCAAGGCATACTTACCGTGTGCTAAGGCTTATGGTTTACATTTGTACTAAACACCTTACCTGCTTCATTCTGTTCAAGGTCTTAGTCCTTCAGACAAGTGGTAATATGCATTATTGCTTTAAAAGCCAGCATTTTAAGATGAAACTGAAATGACCATATGGAAGGAAAAAAAATCAAGAACTACTTACAGCCAGCAAGCAGGAACTGATAATACTGCACTGCATCTGCAGCAAGGAGTAAGGGGTGGTTTGCATTAAATGGTGGTTGCAATTCATTCCATTGAGGGGTTCTAAGGAAATAGCAGAAGAACATTAAAAGCTGGGATGCATGTCACCAAGACTGTCATCACTTAGAGACCCTGATATAAATTCACACTATTTTTTCTAATCATTAAAATGAACTTAGAATCATTAAAATAAATGTGCTGAAACCTGAAACACAAGGCCATATGCTTAAAAAGAATGGGAAGGTGGCAATGTATCTTACAAATAACGTGGAGCCCACATTAACTGAACAGCAGAAGATCCTCCAATAGGACAGACAAATCATCCAAAAGATAGAACAGAAGGAAGTATAGAATTCATATGTTACAAGTAAGTAGCTCTAATTTTATGTAACTTTTGACAATTTTTAGAGCTCTATCTCTTACAAAATGTGTATATTTTTAAATGAAGCATTGAAAAATGATAAAAAAAATTAACCACCGCTGTGTAAATGGATGAATTATAGATTTAATTAGCATCTAAGTTCCAAAATAATTCACTATTTTAACAATGATAGAACAGTGATTTTAATTAGATCTGCCCACTCCTACATAAGCTTGATAAATCAGATATTGATCAGATCAATCCAGTACAGTAACGGAATACTGAAGAATGCTGGAGCCTCAAAAAATCAATATAAGAATATTTTAAAATGTCAAAAGGAGGAGAATCATTTTCATATTCATTTTTGTCTGTCCCTTCTACACATGTCAGAGCAATTTCTTTTCTCTCCTGAACAATGCACTTTATTGAACAGATTTTATTCCAGGATACTCTCCTTCTTTATGCTTTCTCATAAAGATTCTAATCATTATGGACTTTTGAGATAAACTCAGATTCTTTTCTTATGATAGAAAGCATGTGTGCACACAACGGCGGGAGGGGGGAAGCATCCTCGACAGAATCTCTTACGTAATGATCCACTTTCCCAGCCCGTAAGCCCCTCAGGATCCTGGACTCTCACATATGAACCTGGTGTTTTTTCAAGCGAACCCAGAAATCTGAAGCCTTGATCAACCTTAGGGCTTCAGGCCTTGCAGAGGATTCAGCTGGTCTCTGATTCAATAAACATTTCTACAATGTTTAGCCATTGTACTTGTGGAATCATTTAAAGGAAGCCTTCAAGTCTATTTATATTCCTCTTTTCCTCTTTACAGCTATCTCAATGCTACTGTCTATTTTCAGTGAGCGTGAGAGTACAAATAGAGGAAGTAGGAATCCAAGAAAAGATAACACAGAAGTGCAAGGAGAAAACGAGTTCAAGCAGAGACACTCTCCCATGTATATACCCAAGACCACTGAAGGCATACGTCCACCTGAAATTCTGTACACAAATGGACATGTATTAATAGTGGCTGAATGGTAGAAATGTCCATCACCTAATGAACAGATGAACAAAAGGTGGTATATTCATATAATGGAATATAATTGGGCCATAAAAAAGAAAGAAGTTATGATACATGCTACAATATGAAGAGACCTCGATTGCATGCTATGTGAAAGAATCCAGACACTGTAGGTCACATATTAAATGATTCCATTTATCTGAACTAATGAGAGTAGGCAAATCCATAGAGATGAAATTAATTAACTGGTAGTTACACTGGAGTGAAGGGCTGGAGGGAAATGAAGAGTGAATGCAAATAAGTTTGAGTTTATTTTTTTAGGATAATGAAAATTGTACTGATGGGTGCACAACTTTGTCAAAAGTCATCTTTAACAGTGAATGTTATTGTATGTAAAATGTCAACTGAAAAAGTCATAAACTATTGTTTGCTAGATGAAAGAAGAGAGGTTAAAAAGAGGAGCAAATTGATATAATACAAAGGGACAAGACACACGTTTATCAAGTTAATTTTGGTGATGGCTTCACAGAAGCATGCATATCACAAAATTTATCAAATGGTACCTTTTAAGCTTACATACCCCCAAAAAAATGTTGAAAGAAAAGAAAGGAGGTACTACCTAACTAGAGTCCAGCTGGCTCGCGGTGATGTCACCATTTCCAGTGGCGTGTCATCACTAATTTTAGGGGAAGTACTGAGAGGTCGTGGCTCCATCGTGTGCTCCACTAAGGTCCCATAGCAACTGATAATGTAGAGAGATTCAACTACCACCTGCTTGGACTGATCTGCAAACAGAGAAACAGAGCCTGGATAAATGACAAAGGCATAAAATGAGTTCCTGTAATTTTTACAAGTTATTGACCTTCTCGGACTGCTTGTGAATCTGCTCAGAGGAAGAAAAAAGATGTGATGTTTTACATCTACTTGTTCACCTAAAGAATACCGCTGTATAAAGTGTCTTCAGAAAGTTCACAGAAAATGCGTATCATGAAAAAATTATGCATGGGGTTTCAGAAAATTTTAAAGCAAAATAAATTCAGACTTTAACTCTACTTTTCTATGAACTTTTTGATGTCCCCTTGTAGATACTAGTGAATGTGAAAATCTCTATGCTCCCAAAATAAGTTTTCAAATCTTTTATTATTCTCTATGGAGAGAAGAGAGAGAAGAAGTAAGGAATTGGAGCAGGG